ATATATATATGACCTTTTTTCCAGTGTCTAGATTTTTCAATATAGTTTCTGTTAGCCTACAGAGAGCTTTCTCCGTACTGGAGTTTTCCCTAAATGCAAATTGATTGATATTTAATATGTGGTTTTTCTCAATATAAGTCATTAATTGCGATTTGTAACATTTTTCAAAGATTTTCCTTATTGAGCTGGTCAACGTTATTGGCCTATAATTACTTGTATCCTTTCTATCGCCATGTTTATAGACATGTATGATTATGGAGCTTTTTAAGATTTTAGGGAAAATCCCAGTTCGGAAACTGGTATTAACCATATGTAATAATGGTAACAGTAGGTAGGAACTATATTTTTTAAATATATCAGAGCAAATTCCATCTTCTTTTCTACTTAACCCATTTTTTAGGCTCTTTATTTCTTTTAGTAGGTAATTTTCTGAGATAGGGTATAAGAAAAACGAATCTGTTTCTCTCTTTTTCTTCTCACACTCACCATACCAGAACCCAGAACCATTAATTTTGCTTGCTAATTTTTTACCTATATTAGAAAAGTGATTATTGAATTCTGCTGCAGCTATCAATTTTTTATCTGTAATTTCTTTGTTTTCCAGAGACCATTATAGTATTTATTTCTGGAGTGGACTTCTGGTACTTTGTTGCTTGTTTTATTAGGTTCCACAACTTTTTCGGATCTTTCAGGTTTTTCTGAGCTAAATCTTTATAGTAGGAAAACTTTGATTTTTTTATCGGTTTTGTCAACATTTTTCGATATTCTTTATATCTGTTTAGAAGCACTAAATTGTTATGGTTTATGGCGCACTCCTTTTTTAGTTGAACTCTAATCCTGATAGAGCTCAGCAAACCACCAGAAATCCACGGTTTTAATCTTTTCTTTTTGCAGGTAATACTTTTGGTTATTATAGAACTATTTAGAATGTGCTTCAATATATTAACAAAATTATTTGTGCATAAATTAGCATCAACTGTATTCAGGACACCATCCCAACTTGCTTGTGCCATCATTGTTTTAAGCTTTTCATGGTCTATAATTTCGTAAGAGCTCTTTTTGTTGGCCTTCTTTAGAGCATTTTCATTGAAGCAGATGTTTAGCAAGATGGGATCATGGTACGTCAAATTATGTTCTAGAATTAGGGCATTTATATTTTCAAAAAAATTACTCTTACACTTAATGAAGAAATGGTCTAAGCAAGATCGTGAGTTCCCCACTTTTTTTGTTGGATGGTTGACAAAACTGACCAGTCCATGGCTCTGCATCATCGTTATGTATTCATTTGAGTCTACAAAGTCTGTATCCAGAAGGTCAATGTTATGTCACCAGTGAAAATGCATAATCTATTCTGGTCAACGAGGTTTCTTTGAAGTATAATGTTTAAATTGTTGATAAAAGTTGCTTTACTTGTCGCAAAACACCTATATGTAGCTAAAATATCCACGAGCTATTGTTTTTTTTTGTAAGGTAATAGAAACAATCTTAAGGCTGCCCTCAATTAACACTCTACTGCCTACTAAAAATTCTTCCTTAGCGTATATTGCACAGCCATCACATTTATTGAGCTCACTGTCATTAAAGATTAGACTATATCCCTGTATATTGATATCACTTATATTATAGAGTTTGTGTGACGCTGACATCACCATCACATCAAACTGTTTATGGAGACTTTCCAAGAATACTAAAAAATTGTCGAAATTTTGGTATATACTTCTAATTTCAACATGAATCACAGTGATATCACTTTTGACAGTTATCAAATAACTTTATATCAGTCAAGTCATCACAGGTTATTGCCTCATTAGGCTTGTAGTCATCTAGAATAGTATTTAGTTCTGTGAATATGTATTATGGAAAATATTTACCTATTATGATACCTTGGACATTAAATAATTTTTTACCACGAAAGTTTCGTTTGTCACTCAATGTCGAGGGGTGGGTTGAGTAGTACTATTAACCCTCTATCTACCATAAAAATTTCAAGTCGAAAATCCGGTCCTGGACCGAGATAGTACTCAGCTCTTAGGCCGTTTTCCCTTCTTATTTTGATAGCAGGCTCAATATCACTTTTTTTCAAATAAATAATTCCATTTACGCAGAATACTGCCTTAAATCCCTTTTCATTTTTGAGCTCTCTTGCTTTCCTAAATAAATCCCTCTTCATTAAGGTAGGTATATTTTTCCATCAGATGTGCATTCGAGTCCACATTGGTTCAGTTTGATCCCTTTCAGCTCTTTGATTCTCTTTAGGATGCCATTGTTGTCAAAATCTTGTTCACTATTTTCCCTGTGTCCTGTTCCTTTTTTTTTGTACTCCATTGATAATTATGTTTTTAGCTCTTTCTTTGACTTCCAACGCCTCAAATTTCATTTTAAGCACTTGTACACGTTCCTTCAATTCAGTGTTTTCCTTTTTCAACTCCCTTGCCTCAATCATTACTTCCTCAAACTTTCTTTTTTGGGCCTCGAAGGAATCTGACATAAATTCTTCAGATTGCTTCAGGTCTTTGAACTTTTGATCCATCTTTTTTTCCACAGGAGTGAGAAAATCCTGGAAGCATTGCTTTATGATGCTTTTGAGCTTGTTTTCATCCATTTCGAGCCTCAGATTGTCTGAATTTTCGCTTGTTTTCTTTTGTTTTTGTTGGGAGCTAACCTCACTCTGGCAGCACACGAATTTTCCTCTACTATTTCCGATTCCCACCCTAGCTGAACAACTTGGGTGAAAGCTAGACTTACACTTCTCACACTTTAGTGATTCAAGCACTTTCTTTTTGTAATATTTGCACTTCATTTCCGTTTTTGTTAGATCATTAACCATGAATTCACATAGCCTCAAAGACCTAGAGTCAACCCTTCCAGATCCTTCCTACACACCGGCGTGGACTATGCTGGCTTCTTTTTAATCAAAGATTTAAAATTAAGAAATCGCAAATTCATTAAAGCATATATTTGTGTTTTTGTGTGCTTGGCCACCAAGGCGGTGCATTTGGAGCTAGTCACAGATCTCACATCTCAAGGCTTTTTCACTATGCTCAAGCGGTTTGTTTCAAGACGAGGCTTATGTCAGCATATATATTCTGATAATGGAACAAATTTTGTCGGAGCGAACAGCGAGTTGCGTGAAATATATAAGCTTTATGAAGCACCTGATTTTCAATCTTATCTTAAAAATAGCATGATTCAGTTTCATTTCATTCCAGCGCGGTCTCCATGAACATTTTGAGGGTTTATGGGAAGGCGTTGTCAAATAATTTAAACGTCATTCACGATGTGTATTATCCGACAAAACTTCACTCACTTACGAAGAGTCTATAGTCTATACCTTTGTGGTTCAAGTGGAGGCAGTACTGAACTCCCGTCGTCTCCTACCTATATAAGCAACGACCCGAAAGACCTAGATACGTTAACACCCGGACATTTCCTTGTTGACGACCCTTTAAACATGGTCCTCGATATTGACCTATAACAGACACTTGTTAATCGGCTGACCAGATACCAAATGCTGCAGTCCATGGTCCAACACTTTTGGCGAAAATGGTCCGAGCAATATCTACATACACACTGCATGAACGATCTAAGTGGCGTTTCAAGAGCAACGACCAAAGTCTCCTCCGAGCCCTGGTACTTTTGAAGGATGAGAATAAGCCTCCTTCTTAATGGACTACAGCAAGAATTGTTGCCTTGCATCCGGACAAGGACGGTGCTATGCGTGTAGTAAGCGTACTTACCGCAAATAGCAACATTTCCAAACGAAGTGTTGTAAAAGTGTGCATGTTACCGATTTATGACAAATCCCAGGATTCCAACCAACTTATTAACCCGAGTGAATCCTGAGCCTTGCTGATTATAAAGACATTATTCTTTAGCCTTAATCCATATAGAGGCCCTCGGCTTTGTAAGACTGTCGCTCTCAGGGCATAATCATCTACTTAAGTACCCTTTATACCTACATAAATAACTAATCAATCATTTTGAATATGTACATCATTCTTTATAAAACATGACGTAGGTATCAAGAAAAAACAACCCAGCCTTAACATCCGTGGCCCAGTGTCTATTACACAGAGGGTTGAGGTTGATTATTGTCTATTGTGAATAAATGCATTTTTGATTCAACGTCGCTTAACTTGGCTTTATTTTTCTTACACAAAACATATTTGCATTCTTTGCATATTGATTTTGAATGCAGTATAACATGTATCACTCAACATATCTTCAAAAAAATAGGCCTTAGAGTGAATAATTGAGAATTAATACCCAGCAGCAGCTTAACAATTATGGATTTGTAGGTAATCCTTATAATACTAATTTCAAGAATGTCAAAAATCTGAAATATTTATTGTTAGTTAGAACTTTGGGAATGTAGATATGACTCCAGAAAAATGTTGTTCGTCCATCAGTAACTGTAAACACCATTTATTTAGATTTATTCAGAAATAACGTTACCATTCCTAAGATTAATCCATAAAGATTTGACTGACTACACGAACAAAACCCTGAACCTAGGTTGAGCGGTCTGACCTTAGCGTCAAGAATCTTTAAACAAGGATGCCACGGAAATAGCATTTGACTCCGATCCGCTATTACATTTTTATAGCTTTTATTGTTTTGTCATCAAGGAAAAATTTGCAAAAAATGATGTCAACTGTGTTTTAAAGGTCAGAATTTGCCTTAGCAATGTTTTATAAAAGCAAATTTTTAAATACTAATCTGACAAGTTCAAAGATTATACGTAGGAAGCGGAACGAATATAAATTGCGGGAGATTTTAGATTTTTACTGAAAAGAAATTGGCAACAAGTTGAGTTCGAAACGCCCACAGATGGTCTTAAAAATAATAAATTAGTACTTGAGGTTATTATATTTACGAAAAGTAGTGTCATTTACTTTAAGTACAAAAAAATAATATAATAAATAAATAACGTGTGCAAAATCTTGGCACGTAGCCCAAAGATATATTGTCAAACATTTAAATTATATTAAAATTCTTACCTTGTGAAATTGCCAATTAACAACTCATCTTTGTTGATCTTGCCCTCATTGTTCCCATCTACCATGGATTTTTCATCTTTAGCATCAAATTTTGTTGCAAATTTTAAATTACCGTTCAATTTAGCAAGATGTTTGCCATTTCTTACTCTCCGGCTTCGTATTAAATCGTGATGATATTTGTGATGTTCGCCGTTACGCGTTTGTTGAAGATTATTATTGTTTCTTGTGATTGTTTTTTTACTTTTGTGATGATAGCTTTTCAATTTCGATTTCGAAATCCTACTGGATCTGTGCATTACCGAAGAAGTTTCCATTTTAGTTCTTAAATTATTATCTTCATGTTTAGATTTTGTTGTTGTTAACCTGCGTAAAATAAAATTTTTGATTTTATCCATCAGCGCACCTAAATTGCTAATTAATTCAAAGTCAAAGTATGTATACACATTTGCCATTAATGCCGCCAATAAAATTCTATGTATTGGTATTCGATAACAGTAATTGGCTATTTTTAGTATTATAATTTATCAGCCTGGGTTTAATAGACATGTTTTAAATAATGACATTGTGTTTGCCTACTGCATAAAGCAGTAGGTACCTACTTCCTACTTGTATTTTACTATTACACTGAAATATAGTTGATTTATAGTTTTGCATCGAAACTCTTGGCTCGAATTGCACTAGGGTCATAAATTAATTTGTGACAGAAAGTTTTGCAATTTTCATTATGCAAATATGAATTTTGACTTTGACTCATTTAGCCAGTAACTGAATGTGAAATAAACATATTTTGTGTATTTGTCTAAAAAAAGTTTAAGGTTGTTTGTTCATACTGCAATGACCGCGGTTTTATTTCATAAACAACTCAATAACTCAACATTTTTGTGCCAACAATATGTATTTACAATTATCTATTTTATAAAAAAAAAGATGATAAGAAAGTGCAGGAGATGCCGACAAAAGCACAAATTTGTGAAAGCTCGTTTCGCCATGATTCTGATGTTTTGACCAGACATTCAGTGAGAAATAGCTAAGTTTAAAATGGAATTTTTGTCCGCGTATATAGTACAGGGACCATACAGGATGATATTCAACAAATTAAAGACATAAGCTGAAATTTGGTAAGATAGTTTATTTTAGGGTACTAAATACCCATTAAACTCCAGCGCTGAGGCGTTGAGCCCGTCACCCCAAAACCACCCCTTAGGTAGGGTGAATCTACCTTTTTTTACACTTTTCTCAATAACTCTAAAACTAAGCATTTAAGGAAAAAATGTCAAGAGACAAAAATCGAAGAGAAGAAAATTTCATACCAAATATCATCAATTTTTTTCACTCGTTCAGTGGCGTAGATATCAGGTATTAATTTAGTGGATTTTTCTAAAAACCCCACTTATTTATTTATAACTTCAAGACTATGCATTTTAGGGCGAATGCCATCACGAAAAAATTTGCATAAGATTTTCTATAACAGAAGCACTTTTTATCATAATGTATAAGAATACCATAAAGTGATATTGTAGTTTTGGGGGTAATCTGTTGGGTAAAATACTTAATTATAACACAAAATAGGCCAGAAGGTTTATAATGCAAATACGAAAAAAATATAAGGCAATGTACTGCTTTTGCTGATTTCAATGATACGAGTTTCGATAGGTTTATCTGTAACAGTTTTCGAGAAAAAAAAATTATTTTGGTTTTTGTCATAAGAAACAATGTGTTAGAAAGAGGCCTTCCTCATTTTCCTTACAGATATAAAGTCCTTATCCTCTGTAGAGCACTCATTGCGACTGCTGTGGTAACAATAAGATTATCGGCATCACCATCAGCGAATTTAACACTGATTCCATTTTCGACCAAGATTTTTCTGAGAGAACGTATGAAGTATGAAGTTGCTTTTATTAGTGTTGTTTGACAGAAAACAACGTCTTAGCAAAATTCTCTGTGGGTACTCACGAATAATATTTTCCTCTTAATTGAAAGCTTGATATCTACGCCACTGAACATCTGAAAAAAATTGATGTATGCCTATTGGGTAGGAAATTTTCTTGTCAACAATAACTACGGCGGAATCTACTCCAATGCTTTCTGTACAACTGAATGCATCACAATTGAGAGAAAATGAAGGTGTACAACAAATAGAATTCTTACTGCACCAATATGCTGAAACATTCACTGAGTCAACAGCATATGCAGAACATACAGTAAAACTGACTGATGATATTCCAATTTCTGCACCACCTTATCGGATGTCTGATCAAAATAAAAACATATTGAGGGCAGAACTGGATAAGCTTCTGAAAGATGGAATCATAGAAGAATGCGAATCCCCGTATGCTGCTCCAGTTGTTCTACTACCTAAGCCTGATGGTAGTTAGTATTCGCCTTTGTGTCAATTATCAACGCCTAAATGAAAAAACAGTTTCCGATTTCCTAGGATTGATGATCTATTACACACTGCAAAACAAACAAAGTATATGACTACTCTTGATTTAAAATCAGGATACCATCAAGTTTCTGTCCGCGAATCTGATCGAGATAAAACAGCATTTATTTGCCCATTTGGAATTTTCCGTTATACGAGGATGCCATTTGGAATGAAAAATACACCCTCCACCTTCCAAATACTCATTGATCTATTCAAATCCGGACTCCAAGATTTGACCATATTAGCTTATATAGACGATTTGATTGTATTATCCAGAACTTACCAAGAACACCTTTCTGATTTACAACGAACTTTTGACCGACTTGTAGCTTTCAAGCTTCACCTCAATCGATCCAAATGCCATTTTGTGTGCTCCTCTGTGAAGTATTTGGGACACGTAATTACGACCCAAGGAATCCAACCAGATCCTTCTAAAATCACCACTATTCTAGAAAGACCACCTCCTGCAGAAGTTTCAAAGTCCTTCACCTCCTTAACCAAAAAGAAAGCTATTTGAAGATGGGAGAAGAAAGAACAAGATTCTTTCGACCTTATGAAACAACTTTTGACTACTAATCCTATACTCCGGCAGGCTGATAGTACATTGCCTTACATACTCAGAACTGATGCTAGTTCATACGCTTTAGGAGCAGTTTTACTCCAAAGAGAGAAGGCCGATGAAAGACCTGTTGAATATGCAAGCCGATTACTCACACCTGCTGAGATGAACTATCACACTACAGAAAGAGAAGCTCTAGCAGTTGTGTGGGCTGTGGAGAAATTTAGAGGCTACCTGGATGCAGCTAAATTCATTATCCAGACTGACCACCAGTCATTGAAGTGGTTAATGTCTTAAAAATCACCTAGTGGCCGATTAGCTCGATGGGCTTTGTCTTTATAGGCTTATAACATGAGAATTGAATATACACCTGGAAAGGTAAATGTAATGACTGATACTTTATCCCGGCCACCACTAGAAACGTCTCAGACAGAGGTAAATGAAGTTATTGTTGATTTGCCCAGAAAAAAAAGAAGACATTAGAAAGAAACAGAAGATCCGGATGTATTAAAAATAATTTCTTGTTTCGAATCACCGGATCCCGAATCAGTGGAATTTAAGACATGGACTGACCGCGGTTAGATTATGACCGAAGGAATCTTGTATCGCTATGATCCTGAGAGTGAGATCCAAGAGGAAATACAATTAGCGGTACCGAAAAGCATGATTCCTGAAATTCTAGAAGAATTCCACGATTCCCCCTTAGCTGGTCATTGTGGTATTGATTGTCCAGCTGTATTGAATGTCAAAGTGAGAAATCTTAAACCTGCTGGTTTAATACAAATACCAACTACCTGCAATGGCCAAGCGATTTGTAGTGATATCTATAGATCTCTTTGGACCTCTTCCTGAAACCGATACTGGTGAAAAATGGATCTTTATAATCGACACTACCAGCAGATTGATAAAAATATTTCCGCTCTCACATGCTTCTGCCAAAGCTTGTGCGCAAACTTTTGTTGATGAGGTGATATTCAGTTCTGGAGTTCCCCGAAGGGCTACCAGCGACAATGGAGTGCAATTTGTTAGTGAAACTATGCAGTATGTAGCACATTGTCTTGGTTTTCATCAGCACTTAATACCTGTGTAACATGCCAAGTCTAATCCTGTGGAACGGAAAAACCGCGACTTGAAAATCCAACTATCAGGAGGCTGTCACACTCAATGGAAGAATAAACTACCCTCCGTGCGTTTTGCCATGAACACCTCAATCAAGATGTGACAGTACTGGATATACCCCAGCCTATTTGGACAAGAGTTCCGCACACCCGATGATGTACAAAGGAACATGAAAGCTATCACTGAAAGTGAAAATTTCATTCCTCAAGTTACCCCTTATTTGATAAATATTGCTAGAACCTTGATAAAAGCAAGAGAGCTCCATGAAAAGTCCCAAGATAAATCAAAACATTATGCTTACCAAAGAAGAAGAACTATTCCCCATTACAAAGAGCGAGATCGAATGATGGTGGATACCCAACCAATTAGCAAAGCCAAAAGATGCCTATACTTCAAAATTTGCTCCACGACGTGATGGTCCATATAAAGTTACTAAGATTGTCACTCCAACAACAATTGAAGTTTAACCTATAGAGCCAACTGAAGGTCCCACCAACAAATTACATACGCCAGCTATGGCACCTTATGTGGGAAAAAGAGAAGTTCCAACACCAGTACGACCTATACGCCCACGTGGAAGACGCCTTATTGAAAATGATAATATACCCGAAGGTGGCGAGGCCATTCCTAAGAAAAATACAGATGTACTGCATGCTGATGACAACGAGAGTTCTAACGAAGAAAAAAATAAAAATGACGATGAGCCCAGATTAGATGGATGACCCAGACGCCGCATTAAAGCTCCAACTTGTTTATGTGGCGATCATACATCAAAAATTGACTTGGAGTATCCCCGAGGACGTAGGGAAACTCCAAAAGGGGAGATTGTAACCATTAAGACACCAAAGCACCCTCTACCTCGGTAGAAAACACCCAATGACACCGGTCTATGACCAGTCGAGAAAAAAAAGGTGTAAAAGGGGTTGTCATAGAAAGCGTCAGCGTATTTTTTACTTCAGAAATCTTTTATTGCTATATTTTTGCCTTTTGTTCAATTAGTACAGTATTTGAAATAAATATTCGGGAATTTAGTTAATCAACGTGTACCTTATTACATTTTTTTCCCAATGCACTCCTGATCAACACACTCCAAAAGAGAAAATTTAAGAAAAATTGGTAGACAAGTAGAAATATCTGTTGCATTAGTCCTTTATATGAAGGACATTGAAAGAAACAAAAATTCAAGAGCCGAGAATAGACAAAAATTGAGAAATGAAGACTGAAAATTTAGACAAGAAAAAAACATATATTTTCTATTCC